CTGTATAACTTTATTTCTGTACTTCACTACTAGTATGGCCTTCTTAAAATATAAAGTTGTATGGAGTAAGGGTCAGGTTTTCAAACCTAGTGAACTACTTGAAGAGTATAGGAGACTGATCTAAGCACATGCAACTATGCATTAAGAAGCCTTCATCAAATGGAAATATATGGGAATGCCAGAAGCTGCCACGTCTGACAGATCACGCATAATGACTCAAGTGAATTAAAAAGGGACAATTCCACCCAATGTCCCCCATTTCAAAGCTACTGCGGGACACAGGAGGGAAGAGTAGACAAAGTCAAGTGAGTAAGCACTAGAGTTGGCCAGAAGATGAAACGCTTTGTTCTCGTTCTGTTGGGAAGTGTTTTCACCTGATGCTGGAGCAGGGGGTGGGGAAAGGACCCCTTTGAAGTTCTGTGGAGAGGCATGCATGGCGTTCATGAGTCACTGACAAAGACAACACGTTTTTGCTCTCTTTGTGCCATATCACTGTCTGGCATCTACCTCTTTAGGAGATGGACATGTCTGGCAATAGCAGAATGCCAGCCCCAGAAAGCCCAGACAACAGGTAATCCTAGCCCAAGCATAGCTGGCCTAGCTTCTGGGGTAAGACTCAGAACCAGCTGGAGCACACATCACTTTGTTCCCCTAGAATTGCTTCCCTGGAGTGCCCAGCCTTAAAAAACATCCAACTAGGTACGATACCAAGGAGGGAGGAAAAACACTGGTACAAACACTGGTGCAGAAACTTCCACATCATGTCCTGCTTTCAAACAGATTACTGCAAAGGCTTCTGACATTTTTGCTTTTAAATTTTTTACATCTTAGAATCAGTTGTCTCAGATTCCTGACATACTACAGTCTTAAAAAGCTAAGTTTTCCCTTTCTTTTAGTGTGCCTGACATAGCTTTACTCTAGGTTAAAGCACGACTGTTTTAAACTCCTGCCTCTTCCTGGCTAACTGGAATTGAAAGCAGTTGGTTGAGTACCCTGCCCTCAATCAAAAGAAATTTCTAGCTCTGAAAATTTACCTAAACTTAGATATCCATTCTATCATTGACTAAGCTGTCACTGTTAGAAAGTGTCTTTTGTCTTTTTTAAAGCAGTTTTTGTTGTTGTTGTTCAGAGAAAGAACAAAAAGCAGAAATTTCAAAATTAAAAAAATATATATCCCTCAACTGCTTAAAAGCTCTTTAGTGCATTGAAATTCTCTGTGTTGTCCAAGTCAGAGAGGGATTAGAAGGCTGAGAGCACACGTAGAAGCTGAAGGAAATCCAGCTTATTTTTTGAGTGATGAAATAAATATAGTCCTTGAAATAAGCAGTCCCCCAGCGATACGAATGTGTAACACATGCTCTGCATTTAAAAATGTGATACAAGTCTGTGCCTAGTATAGTAATGCCTATTGGGTGACCACTACTTAGCAACAGAACAGGATTTTTAGGAATTCCGTAACTCAGTTGTTTCTCCTGGTACATCCCATCACTGGCAAATCAAGAAGTATTACATCTCTTTCTAACAAAAGCATGAAGAGGAAAAAAAAGACAAGAGTTTGGTAAAGCAAAGAGGACAGTAAAAAAATGTTACGTATCATTCAGTTTCTGACTACAGCCACACAAAGGCATTATCTTCTGCGAGCTCCCAGCAATGTCTGAAGCACTCTTATTTTTCTAAGTGTTGTCTTACGCAGTTCAAGGATTACTGGGGAATCTTGACTGGCCTGTGAAATGGTTTATTTTCTTTCTGGCATAACATTCTGTCTTAACAGAGGTGGTCTCTCACAAGGAGATATGCAAACAGAGGAAAGGAATTTTTTAAAGTAGGTTTATAAGAAATCCATGCCATCTGGGGCGTATGGCTGTGTCTACAAGTTCTGTGCTCTGCTGAAGAACGCATTTCCTCATCTACGCCTGTGGTGCAAGAACAGCTCTTTAGCTCTCACACCAATAACACTGGCTCTTGTGTAGCCAGATAAGAGGTGCTCTTAACGTGGAATTCATTAAACCTGCTGTAGACTTCCAGATTTCCATCTACTGTACACACACACAAAAATTGAAAGCAATACATTAAAGCTATTTTAATTCAAAGCGAAGTGCTGTACACTTGCCAAAAATCAAAGGTTTTAATATGTCCTTAATCAGAGTTGTTAGAGATCACCGAATATAAATGCAGCCTGACAGGACGAGAATGCTGCTACCAAGATACTCAGACTAAACTAGGACATTACTTACATGTTTCTAATCTTTCACCAGTGGGAGGTACAGGTCATCTAACAAACAACAAACAACGCTACTCAGAACATGTTCAGTGGAACCAGGAGTCAATTGTCCAAGTCAAGCTGAGAAATTAATTACAATAAGGAATGTCTATTCAAATAATGGAAAATTTTAATCACTGGCAATTGCTGTGAATCTTGGACTATATTAGTGTATGTAGGGCGGTCTCAAAATGAACTATATTTAAATCCGGTCTCTTAGGTCAACAGTTTCCTTATCAGGAATCAAATATCCTGGAACTGAAGTTTAATCCTCTCAGGGAGCAATTGACAGAAACAACATTTTTTTTTTTTTTTTAAAGCTTTCATGCTTAAAGGGACTTTCTAGGCTTTTAATCAAAAAGAAAATGTTAGGCTTTTCTTTTAAGTATCTCAAATCTAACAGAAGTATCCCTCACCTGACACCTCGGAATTTAATTCCCGCATCCAAAAAATTGAGTGCCAGACACTGATGTGAATGGCCAGTAATACTTAATTAAAATTTAGGATTATATTGCTAAGACTTCGCCCAGAAAAGCACAATGCATTCAAGCATGTCTCGTTTAGGTTATGACTACAGATAAAGAGCTGAATCAATTAATCCAAAGGTCTGCAATCATCCACAAAGTGTTTGAAAAATGCATTATTTTCCCTTAAACTGTGGTTTGCACAGGAAAATAATGTACTTCCATTTCTCACACAGGCAACTAATGGATTTAGCAGAATTCATAAATAAAAGATACCAACATATTCTCCAGCAGTGTCTAGCAATATTGCACTTTAATGCACTTTGTCAACAATTTTATTTAACTCTCCTCCATTTTTCCTTATTCTCTCTACCAATGATGGCATTTACTGACATCTCCTTAAAGTATAATCAGAGCAACTGACTCACTCAACAGGTTAAAGAAACAGAATCTGTACTTACTTAATAGCTATTTTCACGATCCAAAGGTTTTTTTCCTGGATAAAGTGTTGCTACAGACACAGAAAGCTGCTACTATGAGCAAGGCAGTCTTGAGCTTCAGTTCCCCACTTGTATAACACAAGCAAAATCCTTCACCTAATTCTCAGGACTGGGATCAGTATGTGTTTTTTGTGAGGTGCTTTTTTTTTGGTAGGGTCCACTGTCACTTGTACTCCCTTCTAAACAGTGGGTATCCTGAGCTTCTAGGCAATTCTTTAAGGTACCACTGTTAACATGCATAGATCTACAGCTACAGTAAATTCAGAACACAAAGTCCTAAGGACTGTTAATGTCTACCGCACACAACTGGTTCTAATTCTGGTGTATACAAACTAGTTCTGGATCCACCGAGGCAGAGATCTAAATGGAAGTAAAATGTTTAACACCTTGAGGAACCGCATAAGCTAGCAGCTGTCCCATGCCGATGCGGCATTTGAAATAACTAGGGCTGGTGGAAGTATTTTGAGTGCATCTCATTTAGAGAAATGCCGTTTCTCTTAAGTTATCTCGGCTTCCACTTCCCATCACCAAATACAAACTAGATCTATAGATAGAGATGAAATAGTTATGCAGTTAATGTTAGAAACTATTAATGGCAAATCAACCATGTGATCAGAGAACATGCCTGTACGAAGATTCTGTGTACGGAAAACCAGTACACAGCTGGAAAACGCCCTCAGTGCCTTGATGAGTTCAAAACAATGATAGATTTTCTTCTAAAAAGCCATACAAAATTCTCAAGTGTGCAACTGTTCACAGAAATAATAGAAGAAACAACCTAGAGCCAGCAGCTCTGTTGTAGCGTTACAGGTAGTGTATTCCAGGTGTCTGCATATTAAATGCTCAACTTCACGAGTCCCAAATTTTTACATATAAAGAAATGTAACAGGTTTAAGTTTTACAAAACATGGTTCTAAAGGATTATGTATGTATGTATCTACTCATGTGTTACAGGAGAAATCTAATGAGATTATCTACACAATGAATTGCTTTGCTCTGACATCTGGCATGTTCTTCTAGTTGGACACAGAACTGTTATGTCAGTGTCTTAAAGTAGTTTTCATGTTGGACAGCCTGCAATAAATGCATAACACCCCCTAATATATACACCAGTTGCACAATACAAGTTATGAAACTTGTTCCATGACTAACGGGTATAATCATTTTAAAAGAAAATCCCGGCTTCGAGAAGTCAAAAAAAAAAGTCTAATCTATTTTGACAGATGCTCCAACAGGTATTTCAGTATGATAAGTATTGTCCTACGCGTCTTGGGAATAAGTAACAGCAAATTAAGGTCCCACTCTGAAGTGTTTAAGCTTTTCAAATGTACTGGACATCTGCTCTACAACTGCACAGAGATGGATACACAATGCTGTGTTTCTCCACAGCAGCTGAATGTTTGTGTATATTCCAGATTTTGCGTTACCAGTTTATCAACAACAAAAACTTACTTCCTAATTTACAAACACTAAAGTAGTATCTAGAGGAAGGAAAGTGGATGCTTGCTTCAGCAGCTGAAACATAGATATTAACCTTGTTTCTCTGTGTGAATGTTGGAGAGAGTGAATATGGCGTCCAGCATAATTCCATTACGTACCAGCTTATGCTATCTGACTTGCTGCAAGGTAAACATGCAAGAAACACGTAAGAAAAGAGAACGGCATTTTGCTCTTGCCCATTTCCTAGCGTTAGTTAAATGTAAAGGTCTGAAAGTGCATTTGTATTTGATTTAAAACAAACAAAAAAAAACAAAACAAAAAAACTACAGCCCACATTCCACCTATCAAAAATAACATTTCCCTGAAGTTTGTTCTCAAAGAACATCTTTTAGACCTGGTGAAAGCCATTCAGAAGAGAAAGACTGCTAAATAAATACTTTGAAAAGGCTGAGATTTTCCAATACAAAAGGAAAACCATAAGGTCTGTCTTGACTTTTAATGGCAGACAAACTTTGCTGCAGGCTCTTTTATTTTAAGATGACAGATTGCTAAGAAGGGCGGGGGCTGGTTGGGATGAGAGAGAGAGACTGCAGCCAATTTTGAAAGGTATTGTTAAGAAACTAAGAATAAGGAGAAAACAACTTCAGTGGTCCATGATTACTAAAGAACGGGTTTAGCCAGATAAACAGGTCTGCTATCCCTGAAGGGATTTGAAAGAATATCACACACAACTTTATTAAAATGGATTACGTGACAATTACTTCAGACTTTGAAGGTAAAAGCTTCACAAGAGTCTTAAAAATAATAATAAATTAAAACCAAGACTTAGTAACACTGCATGAATGCATAGTCCTAGGGGACTAGGTACATGCAAAGTGGACTGTACACACAAAGAAACACCTCCCCGAAGTTTAGCACCAAGTCTCCCTCTTTTGAGGCAAGGTAGAGAGATCCCCCTGCACTCCTGAGGGAGCCCAGAGGGCCCCCAGAGTAACTCCATCATTTCCCTGAGATCGTTTCCATTCATGCTAACCTTCAGTTGATTGATTTATGTGGTATCTGTACGTCAGAGATCCTGCTCGTAAATCGACACGTTTCAGCCGTATCTTAAGCGAGAGATTACAATCTGTACTGGAAATCTTCAAGTATTAAATGAATATTCAAGAGAGCTAAACTAATCCAAACTCTGAAATAATGCAGGTAACAGGATATGGACTCGCATTCTTGCATGTTAGCACTTCAGACAGTTTATCCCTTCATTCACCTCCCCAGAAGACCCTTTGTATTCTAGGCTTGCTTAAATTCACCAGATTTTTATCTCCAACATTCTTGTTTCCATGAATACATCAGCTTCTCTGACCTCTACACATTAATCCACATTTCTAAGGTCAAACATCTATAGGTAAAAAAGTGAAGGTAACAATAAACATTAGTGACCCTATGCAGTATGTATTAGGAGTGTATATATTTCTGTGCAAACATTAACTTCATAAACCCTGAAGTCATTACCACTGAAGGTAAAAAAAAAAAAAAAACAACAAAAACACTGATTTTAAAAAGGGAAAGTGGTACACAATGATGCCCAAGTAACACTCATTTTTTTGGAGTCGAACTTTGCTTTTATCTTCTTCTTAGTTACTGTAAAATAGCAAGTGACATTTAAAACTGAGACTCAAGTGCTGGCTAAATTGCACGGACACAACTTAAAGGTTATTTATTAAAGACCAATAGTATTATACTGTCTGACATTATTCAGGTTTATAGTCTCACAAAAATATTCTTATTAATCTAGTCAGTAATGAGTGACTATACGTATCAAAAATACTAAAGTGTTCTTGTTTAGTCTATTATGAAAATAAAGCAGTAGAGTTGCTCAGAACTTTAAAAAAAAAAAACTGTGAGTGCAACACAGATAACTCATTTATCAAAACAAAATTTCCATAGTAACATTTAGCCTGGAGAAACTCAATTTCTTACGATAATCTAACAATCCATTCAGAACAGCTGAAAACACAGCCTTGTTTCCACAGAGACAGCAAAGCATTTTGCTGGATCACAGCTCACGTTAAATTTTGTTTTGACTTTTGGTTTAAACTTAGGTGAAAACTCATTACTTGAACAGCACAACCTTAGTGCTGGCAGCCTGCTTCAATAAGCAAACTGCTTGAAGCGCAACTTCTGTTTTGCTTTAAATTGATGTTTGCAGGTAAGAGTTCAAGCTCATACTCCATTTTAAAAACACAGGTAGTAGTCCCCTTCCTTTTTTTTTTTTTTTTGTCAAATAAATAAGTAATTGTCTTTTTACTGTAAAGTAAAAATTGTCTTCTTACGGTAGCACAACTAGTTTTGTATTAAGATCCCAGAACTGTCCTAATAGCTTTAAGTGTGCTGTTGGGGAGCTCAGCATTCCTCCCCTTGCCTCCTTTGTCTACACAAGTCCATCCTTAGGAGCAATCCCTACGAAGTTCTGGGTTTTGAAGGCTAGGCTCCCATGCGCATGAATAAGCAAAGTTTTGTCCCGAGCCTACCTTGGTGTAGGCCCACGAGCTGCAATTGTGTCAGTATCTGCATGCAGAATTCGATCAAGATATAAAAACAGATGTTACACACTATCACTCTGCACTTTCATTTCCTTCATTCTAGTGTCTTTCACTAGCAGGAAAAAAAACAACTGTAGAACTCTTTGTCTTAAAAAACAAAGAAACAAAAACACATAATGATATGCAAATGGAGATGACTTCAGAATTTTCAAGGCATTTTGGAAAAAAAAAGTTTAAACAACTCTGAACAGGTCAGTGAGAAGGCTCAAAACAGAAAAACTATTTATGTAGATAAATCTTCAAATTCATGATGTTTACTCTGATGAATTCGTTATTCATAAGAAGTTTTTTTTTTGGGGGAAAAAAGTAGTATTTTCATCTGTTTTATTCTTAACATTATTCCGAGTTTTGCATTGTGAAAAGCTGAACACTGCATTTAGAAAAAAAAAAAAAAACCTTTTCTTCTCACGGACCAAACCTGAAATTTTTCTTAAGTGCCTGTCTGATCCCATACCACTCTACAGAAATGGGGAGAAGATGGCGGATCAAACACTTTTGCCTTTTCAGAGATATATAAGCCATTAATGAGCAAGAGACAATGAGAGCGAGTACATACCCGTGTGAGTTCTCAGGTGTGCTTTTAAGTGAGAAGACTTCGTATACACTTTTGTGCAGCCTAAAACAAGACAAAATAAGAAGGGAAAGAAATGCTTCAGTAGGGAGAACAGGAACACTCCACATTATGCTTAAACTTCCTCATTCAGTGCTGAGGTACTATCTGGAAGCATTTAAGTTTACTACCTTCTGGCACGATAACCATTTAGAAGTATAATTTAATACAGAAAGTTCCTAGGGAGACATTGCTTTACATAGAAAAAAAATATATATATGTTTCTGGGAGACTTACTACCTTCTAATGTAGTATAAAACAATAGCTGCTAAAATCTACATGGCTCCATAAATCTTTCTACTTACAAATTTGTTTTTAAATTCCTAAAGCCAGTTCACATAGAATTCTCTCTCACTTCTCCATTTTATGCATTTATCACATTGATCAGGTGATATACCGCTGTGAGTTATAATTGTAAAGGGAGACAGAACCAAGGGCAGTGACTTTCTTGGTGTGCACAAAGTGGTGTGAGCATCCTGCATCTGGGATCACATATTACTGGAAGGAGTAGCTTAAAGAGTGAGGTTTTTCTTCCAGTGCAACATATATTCCCTCTAAGCCTATCCTCTTATGTGCAGTTTTCAAAGGTAACTTTAACGGCTTTATCCAAGCAGATGAATTCCTTATTTATTGTACCAAGGGAGGTACAGCCACTGCCTCAACTGCCAGGAGATGAAGTCTTACAGAGCAGAAGCTCAGTTTGATCCTATCACAGGTATTAGGGAAGTTTGGACATGAGCTGGACACCCACTCTGACGCTAATTAGAGATGGACATCTAGCTAATTTTTCCCCCCCCCCCAATAAAGACAGAGCACAACTTTTTTAACATAGTAAAGTGAGGTCAGGAGCTTGACTGTAAAAATGACATGCAGAAAATGACAGGCACTATTTAAAGAATGTAAGTACACACCACACAGAGTAAGACGCTAGAGAAATTCCACTTCAACAAGAAATGATTTGATTCTAAATATAGTAAAGAAAATAACTTATGCCTAGTGTATGACTATTCACACTTTCTTATTCCCAGAGGCGTGATCGCTGGAACATGCTGCTTACCGGGATAGTCACAGTAGTGGATGCGTCTTTTCTCCAAATCTGGGTTACTTCTTCTGTTGTATCTGACTGGCTGTATGTTCTGGGGTGTTATTGGCAGAGTTGCAGGTAAATTTGGGTTGTGAATTGCCAGCTTGGAAGCTATAGTGGCAGCGTATGATGGAGGAGGAGTTAAATTCTGTAGCATCTCTGCTTGTCTATCCGGACTGCCAGGCTCTGAGCTGGGGGGAGAAGGGGGGAAGTAGGTGGCCTGCTGCTGAAGAAATTGGTTTGGCATTGTATAGGAGCATGGGGGAATGCCCTGGAACTGTTTCATTGCAGTCTGTGGGACAGCCGGGGAGAGGGTGTTGAGGCCTGACATGGCTGATGGCATGGAGACACTGCTAAGGGAGTCCATGACGGCTGCCTGAGGGGCAGCACTGGGCATGTCGAGGTCCGGCGAGCTCAGGAGTTGGTAAAGCTGGCCCTGCTGGGGCGTGACAGAAAGGTGGACATCAGGGGTCGGGAGCTCCTGCTTGATGAAAATGTTGTTCACATCGGGCGTCTGATGAGAGCTGAAAATGCTGGTGAACTCAGGGAGGGCCTGGGTAGGGGCAGGAGTGGGGGCAGCAGTTTCGCTCTGGTGACTGAAGATGGTGACGGGCTCAGTCTTGATGTGGGGGACGCAGGGCCGCTGGGATTTGTACAGGCCGGTTCTTAGGTGGCTGATGTCAGGGAGGAAGACGTTCATGTTGATGCTGTAAGGCAAGCCTTCGCTGTCAGTGAAGAACTGGTCTACGACTGAGGCACTATCTCTTCTGTACTTCTTATGCTCAGAGATGACTGGGACGGGTGGAAGCTGAGGTGCCAGGTATTTCTCCATTTCACACCTTGTCTGCAAAAACAAAACGTATGATAGCCCACGTGACTGGCTGCGAAACAGGGTGGCACGTGCACAGCGAGAGTTGGGAAACAGAAAACAGCCGCTCTCCTGCCAACCATGAGCTACCTACAGAGGGAAATACCAACACCACTGAGAATGGGAAGGCAAAACAAAGGCGGGCACAGCTCACATAGAGCGGTGCCGAGACCCATCGCGTGCCTCAGCCCATGGCAAGCTTTCATCTCGTGCCTATAAGACAGCCCCACACGGAGAAATGACAGGCCCCGGCCTAATCTACAGATCTCGCCCTCGGAATTTGCTGTCGAACAAGGTCGCTGCCGATCGGTTTCACTCACTCTGCTTTGAAATGCGAACTCTGGGAAGCCACATCCCCAGACAGCCGTTTGAGCTAACACTTCAAACGATGTTTATACGTGCCCGATTCCTGCGCTTCCACGGTTTTTCATGCTTAGAAGAAAGGCGTTCTATTAGAAGTATAACACCGAAGCGTAAAGGTATAAATAAGGCCGAATAAAAGAAAGGCAAGTCGGCCGTATTCGCTCACCCTTTATGCAAAGCGTCTCACTAACACTTCAGAAATCTGCACAGCGGTGAACAGCAGATAAACACGTCCCAGCTCTGCCCGAGTCCCGGGAACTCTGTAATTACGGGGATCGCTGCCCCGGTGCAGTGGTGCCGGGGAATCCGTGGGCGGCAGCGCCTGACCCCGCACACTCATCGGCCAGGCATGTGTCGAGCAACACTAGTGGGCAAACGCGGCATTCCCCCTCGCCCCGTCAGGGCTCATTCCAGACCCGGCGAGCACCCGAGAAGAGAAAGCGGCTGATAAACAGCCTCCCCTGCTTTAAGTGGCTTTCAGGACGTTTCTTCAAAGCCCACCAGTAAACAACACAAACAAACAGAGACGCATTCCCTCGCTTTGATCTGGGTCTGCCCTAACACGCCAGGCTGCTTTCCGCCTCCCCCCGTTTACAGCGGGACCGCTTTGAAGCCGGGACCGCTCCTCTCGGAGGGGCACGGCGCGGGCCGGAGGGCGGCCGGCAGGCAGCTGTCCGCAACGGAGCCGATCCCGAGCAGCGTTCCGGGACGGGCAGAAAGTCCCGGGAAGTCCCCGCCGCCCCCCCCCCCCCCCCCCGCTACCCGAACATGACTCTCCGCGTGGGCGAGGAGGACAGGCGGCCGCTCTAATTCTGCCACCGGGCAAGTGCACGGGCGGCAGCCGGAGCTCTCAGCTGCCCCCGCCCCGCTGTCCGGAGCCCCCCGCTCGGCCCGGGCCCGCGGCGCGGCCCCACCCCGTCCCGCCCGCTCCTACCTGCACCATCTCCTCGCCCGGCAGGGCCGCGCCGCCGCCCCCTCCGCCGCCCCCCGGGTGCTGGTGCTGCTGCTGCGGTTGCGGCGGCGGCTGCTGCTGCTTCAGGTCCTCTCCGGGGAAGACAGGCGCTTCCCTGGCCCCCAGCACGGGCTTGAGCTGTGCGAACACCGGCTCCTCGGGCATGGGAGCCAGGCGGGCGCTCATGGTCAGCACCCGAGTGGCCATGGGCAGGGCGCTGCGGTGCGGCACGGGCGGGCTGCCCGCCCCGGCGCTGGGCTCTGCCCGCGGGCTGCTGCGCTGGACTGGGCGGCGGCTGCTCGGCTCTCACTAGCCACGAGCCCCGGCCCGGCCGCGCATCCACTCGGGCGTCGTCAGCGCCTCCGCCTGTACCTGGCGGCGGGTGTCTATCGCGGACACGCGCCCGCCTCTATTTCACCCACCCCACCCCCTGCACCCCACCCAGTCCTGCGAAGGGGCGGCCCGGAGGCTGCCCGGCCCACGGGGCGCACGGCGAGCTGCGCGGCGGGCTCCTCCCCGCGGCGTGCCGGGGCGGCGGCGCTGGGCTGCGGGGAGGCAGCGGCTCTCGTCCGGCCCGGCGCGCTTCGGAGCGCTCGGAGCCGCGCGGCTCCCCCGGCTGCCACGTTCCAATCGGTTTTTAAAGCCTTTCACTCACGTTTTTTTTGTTTTTTTTGTTTTTTTTTGTCCCGGAGGCAACTCGCAATCGGAACCCGCTGCCCGTCCCCGCGCGTACGGAAGGAAGAAGAGGCGGAAAGGAGACGGGCACGGCCGCTGCTCTCCCCTTTTTCCTTCTACTGACGCGGCGGGCGGGAAACCGGGACCGAGCTGAGGCAGCGCGCCGCGCTCCGCTGTGAGGGGCGGGCACAGCTCCTCGCGCTGAGGGAGCCCGAGTTCGGGCAGCGTTAACACCTGTGCACACGCGGATGCCCCTCGTGTATCCCTGCTGTAGCCTAGCGAGGCTCCAGGCTGCCGCTGTGAAGTGAGAAGTTCGCTCTGTGGCAGCTCTAAAGAAGCGGAGCTACCAACTGTGCTGCCCGGAGCTGTGTTTCTCCAAGAACAGCGGCGCGATGCGGGGCTGGGCAGCGTCTGGTGCGTGCGTACAGCAGCAGCTTGTGTAGATCATACGGCTGCTGTAACCGAAATGTATCAGACTTGCAGACTTTAATTATATGCTTTACCTCCATCTGATTAAAAGGGTGATAAACAAACCGTTTCAAAACTCTTTTTTTGTTTCCCTTTGTGCTGTGTATGTCTATTTACACATGGCCTGCTCGGGCGAACACTTTGCAGATGTGTATACACATCTCCAGAAGCAGCTCTCAGTGTTGGTAATTTTTCTAAAAGGCCGCAGTTGGGGCTGAGCTGCAGGTAAACAAATGCAGCCCCACCACCTCCTGTTGTGCTCACGGCGTCCCGCTCCTACAGCCTTTTCTGAAGCGGCAGTCGGTGGAAGATTACTAAAGAGCAAGCAATTGTGAAGAGTCAATTTTTATTTTAGCATTTCTGCTGTCAGTAACAATTAGTGACAGTATGTAATAGGCAGTCAGATCGCTTCTGACTTCCTGCTCGGGTTTGCTGATTGAGCTACAGAGTGCAGCACTATGTAGCTCAGAGATACTGCACACTGAAACCTTGGGTTAGGGCAAAATAGCCTCTTTTTGGAGCTCTCACTAGAGTTTATACCTCTTTCAAAAATAGATTTTCTTTACAATGTGAAAGTCAGAAATAAACTGCCAACTGATATGATTCCTAAATTGAAGCAATGGTTTGCTCAGAGTTAATCATTAGAAAAAAAAATAAGAGCTTGCTGTTATAATAATTTCAGAATATCTGTTTCTTCAGTGATTTTGCAGACAGTTACAAGTGAATTTACACTTCACCAGACAAATTTGTAGTTGAAAACCCAAGTAGAGTCTTTCAAACCCAGCTCAGATATACCGTGTAAGCGAGAATTTCAGCCGAGCGTTCGGGAGCTTTTGTTAAGAGATCCTTCCTCTGCAGTGCAGTTCTATGAACATCTCACAACGGAGGACTCGAGAGCTCAGGTCACTGTCCCACAGAGCGAAAAATATGGGAAATAAAAGGTGGAATGGGATTGCCTGGAGGTGGATATGTGAAGGATACCTTACACTATGCTCAGGCACTGATAAGAGAAGCGCCGTGCCCTGTGCTGGAAAGCGTGTTGCCAGGTTTAATGGAAAAGGGTTAAACTTTCTGAAACTATGTAAATGCTCCAGGTTCTGGGCGGGCAAAGATCCAGACATTCTCGGTAAATGTAGGCTTGATTGCTTTGAACTCCCTTGTTCTTTGCATTCCTCTTCGCTTAGTAGTGCTGTACCCATTAGGGAAGACGGGAGAAAACAAGAACAAATGTCAAGTCCTCATTGGGGCGGTTGGAGCCTGGCAGTGGCAGAGCCCAGTGCTGCCTCGTGTGAGAGAGCAGCTGGGGCAGAGGAGCATGGGTTGCCAGATGGGATGGAGATGGGCTCCACTTTTAATGAGTTCTACTCTACATGAGGTGTGCCTGTTAGGGGCACCCCTGTGTCTCTCTATCCTTGTGAGGAGGAGGACCGGCATTTGTGGAGACCTGTACCTCATGTAGAGGCAGGAGAGGAGTGGTAGGACACGGATGGGTTGTTTCGTAATGACGAGGTGAGAGAGACCTGAGGACATCAGCAGGCTTTAAGCTTCACAAAGATTTCTGATAATGATTTCAGGAGCTTTTTAGCACACTCGGAGGCTGATTTTGAGCCAGCAAATACTCAGTTTGTTTTCTCACATTAACTTTCTAGAGAAGTGGAAATGAATTTCCTTCCTGACAAATTCATTTTTTGGCCTCCCATTAGAATCCATCTCCGCAAGGGAAAAAATGTTTTCTCATTTTACATTTGATTGTCAAAAGAGAGCCGGTGTGATACTTTTACCTCAAGGAATCATTCCTCCTCTTCTTGCTCCCCACCAAGCACCATGGTAGGAGCCACCAGGTACCATGGCAGCTCCTGACAGGCCTTGCAAATGCCACTTGTGGCTCTGTAACACAGCACCGCCACAAAGAGGAATGTAGCGGGGTGACTTTCTGCTCAAGTGAATGTGGGAGTCATGAAACGATAGTCTGCTGCTGTGTACTTCATCTGCTTTAGCTTACAGAAGTGTCTTCTTCAAAGGCACACTAGACTGACATTTTTCATTTTCCTTTATACAAAATGGTGTGATAGGCCCTATGGAAAAAAAGGATATTCTTCCTAAAATAATGAATGGCACTTCCTTATTAATTCCAACAGGTAATTTAAATAAAAACACGTTTCGACTTCTTTCTCTTCTTACATTTCAGTAGTCACCTGTTTCCACCTTTTTGCTCTGCTGTCCAAAGAGTTACCAGCAGAAAAATACGTCTGGTTCCCCTTGCATTGGATTTTATTGTGAAGCATGTCCAGAAAATAAGTTTCATGTTTGTCATCCCCCTGTATGCCTTCAGCCAGTTGTGTAAATACTTTTTGTTTCCAGTACAGTCCTTCAGGAACCCTTTTCCATATGGCTAGGAGTGGTTAGTGCATCTTCTTCAAACCAGCTGGATGTTCTCTGTCACTGGAATTCAACAGGCACATTTTATCGGGTAGAAAGCTCCTAAATGATGTGACTCTAGCATCAGAGAACTGAATTTGACAGTGTTTTAGAATATAAAGCTATAAACAGTGCAAAACAACCAATTTCTCTACAGGCCAAGGAAGAATTGCAAAGCTTAGTAAATACAAAACAAGTGGTGTTAGCAAGCTTCTCTTTTGCACAGTTAAAACGGGGCAAGATGCATTGTTTGAAGTTTATTAAGATTACTAAAAACACCCAGATGCAGTTGTATTTGTGGTTTGTTTTTATCCTTTAGCTAAACATATTTTTCTTCCAACGTAAAATGAGTAAGTTAGAATAGCAGTGAAGGTTTGTGACAACTAAATAAAGGCATGTAAACTTACCCACAAATAACCTTTGATTTTTTTTTTTCCAGCAAGAGGTAAAGATCCTACCATGTCTGCATTTTCTGTGTTTTGACTGAGTCAGTCCGCACCGTGTAAGGCCTAATTACAGATTAATTATATAGATCTGTCTATGCAAGGATCTGTTCAAGTATTTTCTCTCAAATTTAACTTGAGCATGTGTGTATACACTTGCATGCATCAGTCTGATTTGCTATTTATCAAGGCCAGTGCTGACTTGGCGGAACAGATGCTTCAAGATGGAAACTTCAACTGCTCATTACTTGAATTCTTGGATTAAGAATCATCAACCTGTCTGGAGGAAACAAGACATCTTACTCAGTAGCTGAACCCAATCTTTACTCAGGTTTTAAGGAGTCTTAATAACTTTTGTTAACAGACTCCTGTATTTTGGTTTCAGGTACATTTCAAGTATTTTCAGCTTCTCTGGGAAGAGGAAGTACAGAAAAATCTCTTAGTGTTCCCAATCCCATTTTGTGACCTTTATAGGCCTAATGTGCAGACTGTTTATTACAGCAGGCCTTTTTGAGAACAGGTCACTGACTCAGCTGTAAGACACAAGTGTTTCCTGTAGTTTCATCGGTTGTCATGAAGCTTCTCAGCATTGACTTGTTGCATAGCAGGGCCAGAAACTACAACAGCATGCTCCTTAAGCATGTTGTTTAATTATTTATGTACTAGTAGTGCAGATGAAAATCTGTACGAAGTATAATCACAGAAGATTAATTAAAATACATACTTAGAGAATAACATTTATGATTTTTGAAAAGGTGGTTTGTCTGCCACTTGGAATTTTTGGTAGAAACTACCACCACCCTTTTCTTCTGCCTTACCTAAGGAATGCTGAGGCTACCTGCTTTGTAAAAGCAAGTGCTGTTGGCAGCATTTGTTAGCGATGGGTGGTCCTACACTGGTGTTTAACTGCTTGAATATGAGATAAAACCACATTCTTCACTACTAAAGAGAGCATTTTTGGCTCCAGAGTGTTTATGCTGAAAATTTGTTTGCAAACATTAACACTGTAAAATTGGCATGCTTGCATGCTTTGGCTGAGGTCTCCTGATCAGAGAAATAAAGTAGAATGGTTGGGTTTTGTGAAGTACTGCTTCATCAGATGGGAGATGGAGCCTTTATGGACTTGGACATAGCAGAGGCAATGGTCTGGCTAGATAGGCTAGGAGGTCATTAAAACAATTACATAATACTTGTTTAAGAACCTCTCAGCATAGTAAGGAAGGGCAGTGAATACTCATTTGGAACTAAGTCCTGATGTTGAGAGCAAAAATAATTAAGGGATGTGGTCAGAAAAAAAATCCTTCACCTCTTGTGCTGCACTCTTTCAAGTAGGGGAAGTAGGATAAGATCCTTAATCAACTGCCTATAATATGCAGAAAGAAGAT